GTCCTCTCTCCTTCTGAGCACCCAGGACCCAATTTGGGGCCATGTTCCACCCTTTTTACCACCACCCAACGCTCTCTCATCTGAGCATTTCCTCCATGACCAAGCCTAACAGCACCTCTGGGCCCAGGCTCAGCCCCACAGTGTTTTCCAAGCAGGAGCACGCCCCGCTCCCCATCGCTCACCCGTGGTGCCGAGCCCCTCTCCAGCACGGCGGGGATGGCCCATTCCAGCACCTCCTTGCCACCAAACTGAAACAGAGCAGGAAGGAAGGAATGGGAATAACAACCCCTGCACTTAAGAAGAAACCCACCAGACAAATAACCCACGGGCACATCCCTGCCCGTCTCCTCACCGTCCCAACGCCGCTCCGGCCCAGGTACCTCACGTTGTAGAGCAGCCTGCGGAGAAAAAGGACCCCGCGCATCCTCCTGCTGCTTTTTGCCAGGGAAGATGCTCACAGCCCCTCCTTAACCCCCCCCCCAAGGTGCCCACCTGCCCCCCTGCACCTTCCTCGTCTCCCTCTCGACCCGGCGCCGGGGGCGGCGCTGGAGCTGGAAGCGGGGCTCTTTCTCCTTCAGGACCTTCAGGTAGGGCAGCAGGGGCGCGTAGACCTCTCCATCGTGCCCCCGCCACCGCAGCACGCGGAAGCTCAGTGGCTGGCCCTTCAGCTTCTGCACCAGCGCCCCGGCCTGCAGGGAAGGATGGAGCAAGGCAGAGGGAGGACAGGGTGGAGGAGGCAGAGGGGAGGACGTGCCAGCCCCCCCCCGTGCCCCACCTGCCCGCTGGAGGCGTTGCGCATTGAGCAGCCGTTGATTTCATCCAGGACGTCGCCGGCCAGCACCACCTCGTCCACCTCCGCCTGGCTCTCGGGGAGCACCTCGGTGACAAAGACTCGGCCGTCCACGTACCTGTGGGTCCGGCCGAGCCACGGCTCAGCCCCCAGGACCCATCCCCATCCCCTCATCCCTTTTGTGCCAGCAGAAATTGTTCATGGATACATGGAGGCAGGGAAAAGCCACCCTGCAGACGCCGGGATGATGGGGGAAAGAAGGACCCAAGACAGCCCCAGCCTCAGCTCTGGTGCTCTCAGGGGTCTTTGTCTCCCCTCTTCAGGGCAGTTTGACTGCCCGGGCCTCCAGATCCTGCTGGAGGAGGAGGACTGAGGTCTCCTACCTGATCACCATCCCCAGCACTCGGCACGGGGCCGTCTCGTAAGTGATGCACACCTGCAAGAGAGCAGCTGGTGACAACGGCCCCAGGACACCCAAGGAGCTCCTGCTCCTTCCCCTGTGTGACCAGGACAGAGGGCAGCACAGGATCCCTTGCTGTGGGTTATTCCTGGCCCAAACAAACCAAGGCTTTGGGAGCCCACAGAAGCCAGTCCCTAATTTCTGAACCCAGACAGGGACCATCGGTGGCCGCTCACCCTCCTCACTTACCGTGCCCAGACTCAGGAGATACAAATCTGCTTGGAACCAACCCCAAAAAAACAAAGATCCAGCCCCAGAAATGAATTTTGAGCCCCTTTCTCTCTCCCCACGTGTCCCCGTGCAGCCGGGGGATGCCGCTGCCCCTTCTCCAAGGCTCTGCGGCTTGCAGCAGCCCTCGCTGTCACAGCACGTTAGGCAGGGAGCCGAGAGGCAGCCGGGAGCGCTCGTGGCCAGCAGCGCGTGAAAGCCAGTGGGAGCCCTGCCTCCTGCACGCACAGGCCTCTGGCAGCTTCTCGGGGCTGCTTTGGGGTTAAAACAGGTGACAGAGGGATGCTCTGCGATTTTGGAAGGCGTCGAGGCATCCCTGCTGTTTGTGGCCTCTGTGCAAATGCACAAATATTACAGTGAGCAAAAAGGAGAACAAAACCAAGTGACCCGCATTCTGCGTGTAAGCCCAGAAAAACAGAGATTTTTTTTGGCAATGAAGTGGAGAAGGGAGCATGGGGAAACTATGTCAATGATTTCTGCCCCAGTGCTGCCTTGGCTTGGTTTTGCTTGGTTTTCTGCCCAGGGCGATGCCAGGATCTGCTCCTGGTGACAGCGCAGGCACCCTGCGGGATCCAACCTCAGCGCAGAGGCAGCTCCACTCGTGCTGGGGAGCCCGACCCAGTTTCCATCCGGCCGCAGATGGCCAGAGAGCGGCGTGGCAATGCCTCCAAACCAAGCAATTCCTTATTCTCCCAGTTTGACATTCCAGCAAGGGCCGGAGCGGGTGGCAGCGGGGAGCAGCGAGCTCTTACCGGCAGCAGCCAGCTCTCGTCCAAGAAGCTGCAGTTCTGCAAACAAAGCAGCGCGGCGCCGTTGGGGCTGGCGGGGAAGGGGTTGGGGCCCCCACACCCGATTCATCGCCGCACCTGCAGATCCAGGGAGAAATCCATCTCTGTCAGCACCAGCACCAGCGAGAGGAACGGCTCTGCAGGGAGGAAGGGGACGGAGAGGCAGAGTCACTGCTGGGCCCCAGCAGCTGCAGCCTCACGGGGACACAGCTGAGGTGTAGATAAAGCTGTTTTTGTGTAAATAAAGCCATTTTTGTGTAAATAAAGCCATTTTCAGTGTAACTAATGATGCTCTAGGGAGGGACCCTCCACATGCACCCCTCACCTGACTCCTGGAGGAGCCATGACTTACAAGGCACCTAGGGGCAGCTAACTCAGGGTTATCGATCTCCTGATTTTGATGAAAAGCTTTCACCAGTCCCTCAGAGATCACAGCTGGGTGGCCAGGCAGCCCAGGCACCCCTAGGAGCATGTCTCCATCACCACCCTTGGTACAAAAAACTAGCAGAGAAAACACTTCAGGAGCAATTTGCCTGGCCCCACGACACTCAAACCAACCTCAGACTGATTCAAGCCCTCTTTAAACATTTCCACCTTCTTCTCCATCACTGCAGCAGCCTACTTAGATTTTACCATTAAGCTTGGCTTAGAAAAATAAATAATAAATCACATCCAGCTCCTTTCTCTCCCCCTCAGCAGCATGCCCACAGCTGCAGGCTCCATCCCTCCTCCCCGGAGCCCCCGGCTTACCCAGGAGGACTTCATTGCCGAGGATGGAGCTCGCCGGGTCGTAGAACTGAAAGACAGCGAGAAGAGCCATGAGGCTGATAAAAAAGAGCCACGAAGGTGCCTGTCCCGTGGGGTCCCCGCATGCTGCACACCTCCAGGAGCCGGGGGCTGTGCGCCAGCTGCCGCAGGGCCGCCGCCAGCACCTTCCCCTGCAGCGCCGAGCGTAGGAAGCAGCGGCCACGGCCCTGTGCTGTCAGCACCTTGGGGCAGGTGGCGGCTCTTCGGATGCTGATGGAGAGAGGATTTGGCCTGCTGGGAGAGAAGGAAAAAAAGGGAAAATGGTTTGGGGCTCAGCCCTTGGGGAGGCTGGGGGTTTTGGGGTGAGCGTGGCTGCGCTTTGTCCCCATCACCACTCACCTGCTGCCGTCCCCCTGGAAAAGCTGCTCCAGGCAGTGCCAATAATCCCGTCTCCGCAAGCCCCACACCGGCTCTGTGGGATGAGAAGAGCCACAAGAAGAGCGCCAGGGCCTCGGCTGCACTTGGGGGACACAGGGGGGACACCGGAGCCCCTGCTCCGTGCAGGTGCCCAGGCACACTCACGTCGGAGCCCCTTGCGCAGGACGCCCTCCAGCAGCTGGCAGATGGAGGCGAGGTGTGGGGAGGTGTCCGGGCAGGGCCCCCCGGCCTCCCGAAACCGCAGCACCTCACCTGCAGGAGGGGAGGAGCAGCACCCTTGGGTGCTCAGGCTGATGGGGGGGGGGGGGGCTGTTGGGGGAGCGAACAGCCCTGGGTAGGCACCGTGGGAGGTGCCCAGGGTGCGAGCAGGGTGAGACCCACCCTGGCAGCGGGCAGAAACTCCAAAAAACTTCCTTATAACGAGGCGTGGGCGCAGCCAACGCAAACAACGGGTGGTGCAGGGCCAAACACGACACCCCCTGCCTTGGGCTCCCCCTGCTCAGACCCCACACCGAGGAACCCCCGGGGTTGTTCTCACCTCTCAGGGCGCTCAGCAGCGGCTCCTTCCCAGCCATCAGCCCTGGGAGGCTCCGGGCACCTCCCGCACCCCGTTGGGCCCAGGGGGGCTCGCACCCAGCTCGGGTGCCACCCCACACGGCTCAGCCACGAGCACGGGGGGCACGCGAGCCCCTGCCACACCTATAGACGGCCTCTCGCCCCACCTTGCCCATACGTGCCCGTGACACGTCAGCCTGTGTACACACCTCGTGTGTATTTGCACAAGTGTGAGAGGCAGAGGCGGGCGTTACCATGTGGAAGTATGGCAGAGACATCGTGTGTAACCACAAACCTAAATACAGCGTGCTCGGGTGTTGTACAGGCACCAAACGCCCGTAACAGCGACTGAAAGGTGTATTTGTGTCAGTCTGTCTGTATATTAGCAAAATATAGGCATTGGGATAGGGATAGGTATATAAGGATATAGGGATGTACACACAAATAAAAGGATATATGTATATGGGGATATATACAAGGGTATAGGGATGCATACATGGGTATAGGGATGCATACAAGGCTGAGGAGGTAGATATAGGGATGCATACACGAATATAAGGACATATATAAGCAGATAGGGATATGTAAGGATATATACAAGGATAAAGAGACAGATATAGGGATGTAGACATGACTATAGGGATATATACAAGGCTATAGGGATGTGTACATGGATATGGGAATGCATGGGGATGTATAAACAGATACATAGATAGATATAGGGATAGATATAGGGATGTATAAGGATACATACAAGGATAAAGAGGCGGATATAGGGCCGTATACACGACCACAGGGCTCTATATACGAGGATACAGGGATGTAAACACGGAGAGAGCAATCTCTATTTTTAAAAACCCCACAGATTGGCTCCGCTGCCGGCAGCCACAGCCTATCCACACAGCGCCTGCACCCCCCCCAACCCCATAGCCCGGCCCCGGCCCCTCCCAACCCCCCCCATCCCCTCCCCATCCCCGCCCCGCAGCGCCGCGGGTTCGAGCCCGGCCCCCGCCGGGGCGGAGCGGGGCCGATCCCATCCGATCCGTTCCGTGTTGTGCAGCCATGGCAGGGCCCGGGGCTGCCCCGCTGCTGGCTGCAGCCTGCAGGGCTTACGGGGAGGCTTTCGGGGGGGCTGGGGCTGCCGGGGCGGTTTGGGCCCCCGGGCGAGTCAATCTGCTGGGCGAGCACACCGACTACAACGGCGGCTTCGTGCTGCCCATGGTAAGGGGCTGCCCCGGGGTGGGATTTGGGGTGGATGGAGGTGGGCCAGGGGCTGCCCGGCTTCCTTGGGGGGCTTGCGAGGAGCCCCAGCTCGGCCCTAAACGCGGAGCGAGTCGCTGGGAGCCCAAAAAACAGGAAAAGAAGCTTCCCCAAAAGCCTCGCAGGAAGAGGTTTTGCTGCTGAGCCGAGCCCCAAGGTGCCCCCCCCCCAGGCTTGGGGCAACGTTTGGGTGCTGGGATTTTTTTTTTGGGGATCCCTCTAAGGCCGGGATGTTGGGTGCTGACACGTGGGAAGGGTTTAGGGTGATGCTTGTAGGGTGCCATCGGTGTGGGGGGGAGCAGCCCCCGGCTGTCCCCTGCCACCAAGGGGGACATCGCCAGGGGGCTGGCGCTCAGCCCGTGTCCCCCCCGCCAGGCCCTGCAGCTGGGGACGGTGCTGGTGGGGTCCCCCACGCAGGACGGGACCATCTCCATCCTCACCACCTCGGAGGCAGCGGATGAGCCCCGCAGGGTGCAGTTCCCAGCTCCCAGTGAAAGCAGCCCCCTGAGCCCCGGGCAGCCACACTGGGCCAACTACGTCAAGGGCGTGATCCAGCACTACCGGGGTAAGGCCGGAGCTCTCCTCCCTTCCCTCTCCACATGCTCGAGGCCAGTGGGTGCCAAAAATCCCCTTGGAGCAGCTGGTGGTGGGACCAGGCTCCAGCAGAGGTGCTCACAGCTCCAAGGATCGCAGCACTGGGGTGAAGAGAAGCCCAAACCCCCTCTGTGGGTCACTGTGCATTAAAAAAAAAAACCAGAATATTAAGCAGGGGCTTCTCTCCGCTGGGAGCTGAATCCCCAGGAGCTGTGGGGCAGGGCAGCCCCCAGCCCTACAGGGGGCTCACAGCCCCTCTCCTCCCTTCTGTTCCCACAGGCGGTCCCGTGCCTGGTTTCAACGCTGTGATAGCCAGCGACGTCCCCCTCGGTGGCGGCCTCTCCAGCTCTGCCTCTCTGGAGGTGGCTACTTACACCTTCCTGCAGCAGCTCTGCCCCGGTATGGTCCTTGCTGGTCCTTGTCCCCAGTGCCTCGGTTCCCTTGCCAGAGCCAGGGCTGTCCTCAGAGAGATGCTGCTGTTCTGTTGAGCAGCCTCAGCTGAGATATAAGCAGCAAATTATCAGAACCAGCTGGGTCTGAGGAGCCCAGGCTGCCACAGGTGATTTGCAGTGATGCAGCCACAAACACTGGCAGCTGATGCTTTAACAAACCCTGTCCCACAGCTGCGTGCAGCGCTCAGTGTCACCCAGGGCACCAGTTCTCCACATCCCACAGACACCAAATCCTGCAGAGGACAAAGTGGGGGCTGCACAGCCAGGATGGGGCAGCTCAGCACTGGACACTTTGTAGGGTGCAAATCGCGATGGCTGCCCTTTGGTGAACCCCAGTGAAAGCAAACCATTACTGCTGCTTTTGTTCACCCTGCTCCAGGGCAGGGGGTGACCATCCCGGAGCTGCTAACCCCTGCCCCTCTCCTTTCTGGCACAGACGATGGCGATTTGGTGGCCAAGGCGCTGGCGTGCCAGAAAGCGGAGCACACGTTTGCTGGCATGCCCTGCGGGATCATGGACCAGTTCATATCCGTGATGGGCAAGGAGGGCCACGCGCTGCTCATCGACTGCAGGTCAGCACCTCCTCGGGCACGTGCCTGCGAGCTGGGGCTGGGGACGAGCTGATCCTATGGCCGTGAAACAGAGCTGCAGGGAGGCATTAAACCCCCAATCCCAAAATCTCACCATGGGGCTGGGGCTAGTCCAAGGTGCCTCGATTGCTCCTCGTGCATCCTTTCCCTTGTGCCTGGGCTGGCTTTCCTGCAAAGTCATGAGGGCCTAATTTGGGACTAATAATTGGGAAGGAGAGAATTGCTCAAGAGAAATCCTAAACCACGCGGACTTTGCCCCGGTGAGGCACGGGCTGCGTGCCACGTGGCCTCACCGGAGAAATCAGTGGGGACGGGCGTGCCGCCCATGCTGTTCTCTCGCTGCAGGTCCTTGGAGACCGTCCCCGTCCCTCTGACCGATGCCAGCTTGGCCGTCCTCATCACCAACTCCAACGTGCGGCACGCGCTGACGGGCAGCGAGTACCCCACGCGCCGGCGGCAGTGCCAGGAGGCGGCGGCGGCGCTCGGCAAGGCCAGCCTGCGGGACGCCACCATGGCCGAGCTGGAAGGTGGGCTCGGCTGCTCCATGGGGCACCATGATGGGGCAGGGAAACGTGGTCGTGGGATGCGGCCGTGTTCCTCCTTCCCCAGCTGGAGGGGCTTTGCTTTAGGGGTGCGCGTGTCCCCGCAGCGGCCAGGGGCCGGCTGGGCGAGGAGGTGTACCGGCGTGCCAGGCACGTCATCGGCGAGATCGAACGCACGGTCCGGGCAGCACAAGCGCTGCAGGACAGGGACTACGGCACGTTCGGGAGGCTGATGGTGGAGAGCCACAACTCCCTGCGGTGAGGATGTGCTGGGGCTGGGGTGCTGGTGTTGGTCGTGGGGGTCGCTCACCCGGGGATGCAGCCAGGCACGGGTCCTGCCCAGCATCTCTCTCCTGGTTCAGCCTGTAACAGCTTGGGGAAAAGCCCCAGAGACCTCTGCACATCCCTGGCCAATTGGTCAAGTACCTTACAGGGTCCCTTTTCTCACAGCCAGAGCACCTCGCTCCTATAAACAAGTGCCTTTATAGGAAAAGCACCGGGCTGGGGTCTGCAGGCACCCCGCGTTGCTGCTTTTTGCAGCAGTGGGCGCACTGAGATGTGTTTCAGCCCTTCTTGCTGCAGTGGGGTGCAGCATGGGGCTGACCCCGGGTCTCCTCTCTCCAGGGACGACTACGACGTGAGCTGCCCGGAGCTGGATGAGCTGGTAGCAGCAGCTCTGGAGGTCGATGGGGTTTACGGCAGCCGGATGACGGGAGGAGGCTTTGGCGGCTGCACGGTGACGCTGCTGGTGGCTGAGGCTGCGGAGAGGGCCCAGCAACACATCCAGGTACACAGCAGAAAAGTGCCCGGAGATTGACTTAAAGGTCCCTAAAATGCACTGAGGCGTGGGCCTGTGGTGATGTTGAAGCTGTGATCCTAAGGCAGTTAGGGTCAGAGTAGCCCTCACGCACAGGGATATCCCCGTGTCCACCGATGCTGCTAAGCTCTTCCCGGCAGTTTGCACTGTGCTGGCTGCCGAGCACGGCTAAAGGGCTTTACTGCATCAAGAAAAGGAGCAAAAAAAGTGGCAGGTGAGCTTTGGGGCAGCCAAATCAATCTAGGGAAAAATAATGCATAGGCAGTGCTGAGCTCAGTGCTGGTAGTCGCAGCCCAGGGACGATCCTAGTGCTGTCACCAGTGCTCTCCGAAACCAGCGTGCAGTGAGCACTTACTGCTCCTCTTGTCCCTTAGGAGAAGTACAGCGGCACTGCAACCTTCTACATCTCCAAACCCTCGGATGGGGCAAAGGTACTACCCCTGTAGAAGAAGCAGGCACCTTGTCCGAGCTGGGATCCGTGCTGGGATCGCGTCCCTGCTGGGACAGGAACAGCAGCCGCTCTCCTCGCTCCACCAGGGAGCCAAGCTGTGTGCCTGCATCGTTTGCTTAATAAAAGTAAAACATCTGCACGTTCTGCACCTGCTTGGACCAAGCCGAGCCACGAAGGACTCTGGGGACCTCTCCCCAGCAGGGACTGGTGGATCCAGTTCACATTCACACTGGTGTAACTGCCCCATGCCAGTAGTGACTGGAGGGCTGCGGGAGCGCATCCTGCATCTGGTGCAGGCAGAGGGCCTAGGGGGAAACAATGCTTTTGAAAAGAAAAAGGAAGAGGCAGACCAGAGAAAATATTTATTGAGTGCAATAGGGAGTCATCTGATCGGAGACCTGCTGGCGGATTGACCTGGAACACCAACGGCCCGAGTGACCAGATGAGAATTAAAAAGTGACACTGTTGGGGACATAGCCTTGTGCACGCAGGGAGCGTGTGCTGCCAGGGAGAGCAGCAGCTGGGGAGCTGTACACTTCCCTTAACAGGATAGCCTTTGGTTAAAATGCTTGGAAAAGGGGCTCCTGTTTGAGGCTGAGTTCGGTCTTTTCCCTTGGAGCACAAAGCACAGGGTCGTGGAGCTCCTGGGCAGGAGGAGAGGCAGCAGCTGGAAATGGTTCCTGCTGGGCTGGGAGAGCAAAGCCCAGCTGCAGGGGTGAGAGGGGAGCTGGAAGCCATCCCTGCTCGCTTGGGAAAGCCCCAGGTTTGGTAGGTTTGGTGAAGGATGCCCTGCTCCAAGTTCAAAACTGCCCCAGTTCCAGCTGCACTCCTGGAGACCCCTCTGGACATCGCTCATCCCTGTGCAGCTGTGCTCAAACACATAAAGCTCATCCTCTCCACATGAGCAGCCTGGCGAGGAGAGGGAGCTCTCTTGGCACCGTCAGAGCTGGAAAATCTTTCTCTGATTCCAAAAAATAAAATAAGCCAAGGTGCAGCCTCAGATCAAATCAAGCAGGCGATGCTGCCAGGGAGAAGAGCCAGCTGCTGCTTTGGGTGAAAGCACCAACCCAGGAAGGTGGCAGCTGCTGCTTTGGGCAGGATCTTTTTTTCCAGCAGCTCCTCGCCTGCGCCTGTGCTGCTGAAACAAGCCAGGGAAACGTGACTTTCATCCAGACACGGAGCCCAATTGTTCTGTGCTGGCAGAGGGCGGCGAGATGCTGGGCATCCTGCCCAGAGCTGGGAAACGAGGCCCAGCAAGGTCCTGGCTCAGCCCCGCACCCAGCACTGTCCAAGGACGGCTAAAGCCAAGGAGAAAGGCTCAGGAGATAAGCTCAGCCTGAAGAAATGCTGCTCTCCCCAGTCCCGTTCCTCCCTTGTGTTTCCCGAGCGCTCACAGCTCCCTTTTGTGGCATTGCTGTTGGGCAAAAGGGCTTTTAAAGGCAATCCAACATTTTCCATCCACAACCTCTGTCCACGTCAGCCTTGTGTGATGTCCCAAGCACTGTTCTCAGCTCCAGGCACCATAACGGAGCCGTTCCTCTCATCCTGCTCCCCAGCAGATCTCAGCCCTTCCACAGGCACGTGCTGCAGCTCCAGCCCGCAGACGTGGTTCACACACAGCTGCTGGCAGCCTGCTGCTGAGGGCTGGCAGGCATCAGCTGCCCAAAACCAGGCTTTCCACGGGGTTTAGCGGCCTTTGGATCAAGACCTTAACTAATTTCTTCCAGTTTTGTGATGCTTCTCAGCAGCCACGGTCCCAGTTTATCCTCAAACACTCAGCATAGATCTCATCCACCTCCATTGTTTTTTTTTTTTATAAAATAATAAAATTTATAATATATTTATATATATACTACGAAAACTGTACAATATCATATGCAAAAAAAAAAATGCATCAGAGGCCAACACGAGTAGTGCTATACAGATGAAAAGCTTTGCTATCATGGTACCAAAGGTTAGCAGCGAAGGACAGGTGCAGTAGGAAAGCAGAGGTTACCCTGACCCGCTACCATGCAGCTCTTAAAATAACCCAGAACAAAATCACCATCTCCAGCAGACAGCCGTTTGTCCAGAGAGCCCAGGGCAAAGATGGGAACGGTGACCCTCTATAAATATCAGGCTGTTTCGGGATGCCATCAGCTGGGCTCCTCTCAAAACCGAGGACCCAGGAATAAATCATTGCCTTCCATTTACCTGGGGAGGTGGGGACCATCGAGACACCTGCGCTTCTGCAGGAGTGCTCGGGTGGGTGGGCATCAAAAACGGTGTTGGAGCAAGCGGTGATTTCTCATGGAAGGCATCCCTGTAGGTCCTGCAGGACTGGGGCTCAGCAGGGCAGGACAGGGGATGGCGAGCACCCGCCTGATGACCCAGCCATGCCAGAGCTTGGGGTGCACTGGGCTCTAAAGGAGAGCTCCAGAGCTTGAAGTGCCCTGGAAAGTCTCTGCCCACAGTAGGAGCTGCCCAGGCACCGCGGCAGAGTCTGGATGAAGCACTCCTGGACCGTGCCACGAAGCCCTGCACGCCCCAACGGCGGCGTCCCGCTGGCGGGCAGCCTGCCCTGGCTCAGGCCTCGTAGAACTGCCTCTCCATCTGCTTGGTGAGGGTCCCGCTGGACATCACGGTCCTGCTGACGAACTCTTTGGTGACCTGCTTGGTGAGGGTGCTGCTGGCGCTCTCCACCCGCTGGGTTGTCATCAGCATGCCATCTGCAAGGAGAGGCTTGGTGCTCAGGGTGCTGCACTGAGTATGGGGTCACGGGGAGTGGGGTCTGCACTACCTCATGTTTTTTTGGCAGAGGTTTCACCTTCAATACCACCTCTCCAGATCAGTTAATTCAGTACTTTGCTATGCCAGTCAATAAGATGAGTTTTCTACCAGCTCCTAAACTCTCCTCCTTGCAGCTTGAGCCCATGAGTCCTTGAACTCAAGGGGGACAATGTGGGACAGCTGGACTGATGTAATTAAAATGGTCATCATACTTTTCTGCAGAGGCCTAGCCTTGCAGGAAGAACTATGATTTCATCACCAGATAGCTCCTGTGGGGCTCTAAAAACTCACATTTCCCTCTGTGATCGGGCAGCACACAGGGAAATGGCTGCAACTGCCTGCAGGGCAGAGCAGGACGTGGTGCAGAAAAGGGCCTGGTCCTCTCCATCTATCCTGCCTGGTGGACCCCCCTGCACTGCCCGGGACATCTGAGGTTAAAGCAGAGCTGACCTTTGCTCTCCAAGGGTTTCAGAGCAGACAGCAAGCCCTTACCTGAGAAGTGGGGGTCCAGGGAGGAGTGGCTGATGCTGGTTTTGGTGGTGTATTCAGCGGGAAAGTTGTACACTTCTCTCATGTACTGCTGTCCTCCAAACTGTGAGAAAGTGCCTGGGGAGAAGGAAAAAGGGAGAAGTCAGCCAGGAAATGACAAGGAGCTTCCATGCTTGTGACCCCCCTGCACAACGAGCACCAACAGTCAGTTCAGGAGGTTCGTCTTGTCATTAGGGCCGGGTTTAGGAGGAACTGGGAGGACTGAGGACTTCTGCCTATGCATAGAATCAGGTATAAGACAGAAGATTTGTAATAAATTAAACAGTCAGGTTCTTGTAATTGTCATTCAGTGCATTCTGTGGAATAGGGACAGCACTCACAAGGTACAGCAGTGCCTTCATGACGGAGATAGAAAACAGAATCACAACCAGAGCTGGGAAGGGCTCCAGGAGCTGTATTTACTGCTCTGAGAGACTCCTTGCCTTTGCATTTCCAGGAAGATGCGGTACCATACCTCCATCCTGAGATTCGATGGTGATGATGCCTTCTCTCTCCGGCCCAAAGCCTTGGGTGGTCTTGGCTTGCACTTTGAACTTGTACGGGATGTTCTCGCTCAGGTGAGGCACGGTCAGGGTTGTTTCTGGATTGTCTCCTTCAACGTAGATATTCCTGGGCTCCCCTAAAAATGCAGAGAGACCGGGGTGAAGACAGACAGACAGGAGTGACCGTCCATGCAAACACTTCTGGCTGGAGTCTTGGCTTTCCCTAAGCTCCATGCCACCCACAGGTTGTACGGTCACACCCCGAGAAATAGGGCACCTAAGACAGCCCTACTTCAGTGCAGTGCTGATCCTGAGCAAATAACTTCAGCTGGATTTGGGCTGTGTGACATCCCAATTCTCCCCATTTCTGTTACACCAGATCATGCAATGACTTAAAGCATCGGGGTCCAGCTGCCCCCAGGCCTGGAACCAGTCTCACGTCCCCACTTTGCACTGATGTGAGCACACAAAACTCTGTTGCTGGTCCCAGCAAAAAGGCAGCAAGTTTCTGCTGGAGGTGATCCCGTTTTCTGCACAAGGAATTGGTTTTCCACAGCCTGCTACCTTACCTCCTCCGTGCAGCATCTCGCAGGTGACCATGTAGCCCAGGATGGCCCCGTTGGGCTTGCGGGGCCTCTCCCAGCTGAGCTGCAGGGAATCGGGGCTGAGAGCGGTGAAAACCAGTGGTCCGGGAGCACTGGGTGTGCTCAGCGTGAAGGGGGATCCTGTGGGGGCACAAGCGAGGGGTCAGAAGGTGGTGGGGAGGATCCCAGCTGGGGGCTGCACACAGCGTTTGTATAATGAGCTGGGAGACCTCAGATACCCCAACAGCTAAGGGAAGGTGAGCACATGGGGCAGAAGGTCCCGTTTTTTAATGAAAAAAAGGAAAGGAGAGCTCAGGATGAGGTAAGGGGAGAGAAAACCACCAGCAGTGAGGACAGAAGCAGAGCCATCAGCACCACCCAGGTGCCCCCACCCGCCTCACCTGGAACAGGGCTGAGCGGGCTCTGCGGGTCCACCTGGGACTCGATGGTGATGACTCCTTCCCTCTCGGGGCCCCAGCCCTCCTCGCTCTGTGCCTTCACCTTGAAGATGTAGGAGTGGTTGGGCAGCAGGTCCTCCACCACCACCGAGTTCTGGCCGGGGTTGGGGATGGTGAGGCGGTGCACCTCTCCTGGGACACACGGGGAAGCAGGACATCAGTGCCGTGTTGCAGGCACAAAGGCAGAGCACTGGCTTTCTCCTAAACCCTACCTCAAATGAACTGTCTGGAAAACTGAGCCAGAGAAATTCATCCAGGTTCCCCCCTCCCCAGCCATCTCCATCACACCTTGTCCCCACCAGCTGG